ATTATGCAGATGATACAGTTCTCATGGCCACAACCTCCAAAAGCTTTTTGATGCTGTTGCGCAAGCTAACAAACGTCTTGGCCTATATGTCAATGGCAAGAAAACAAAATTCATAGTGGTTCCAAAGTCGGAGGCCCACCAATTGTCCGCTGAAACAAGGAGAATTGAAATCTAATAGGTCTCCTACTCCAGTCATTTAGGTCTTGTCGCTTCAGATGCTCGTTGCAAGAAGGAAAGCAGACGCAGAATCGGGCTAGCATTCTCCAAGTTCCGGAATATCCTAACAGACCGCAAGCTCTGCATGCAAATAAAAAACAGACTCATTAATACCTTTGTCTAGTAGACTCTCCTATATGGTTTCGAGTCCTGGACACTGTCGACTGAAACTCAGCGCAATATGGAGGCCGCGGAAATGTGGTTCTACCGCAGGATGTTGCGCGGCCCTTGAACAGACCGAGTGTGCAACGAGGAGATCCCCAGAAGAGTCGGACAAGGAGGCGAGCTTCTAGAATTGATCCGACTCCCCGGACATGCAATCCGTAAATGTACATTAGAAGACCTTGGCTTAAGCAGTAAAACTGAAAGTGAAAAAAACCACTTCATCCACTTCGATGCCTCTCAGACAGAGCTCGACAAAATGAAACATGGCGCCAAGTAATTCGTCGGTGATGACACAGAAAGAGAAGATATACTTCATATGCAGTAATCCGATGTTTTATTAATCTTAGTGAAATAATCAAAATTGCTGTACTAGCTAGAGGGTTACTTAGCTAGCGATTCGAAACTGCAGCCCCATCAAAGAGGTTCCTGTTGCTCGATCCAGCCTGGACTAAATTAGTTGAAACAGCGAATGTAATGCTTGTGAAGATGACTTACGCCCTGAGCATTAATCTCAGTATGCACACGTGTTTCTCTGTTTCTCTCCTAAGAGAGAAAAAGGTGAGCATATACACACATATAGAGACGCGTGCGTGTGCGTAGAGACATGATGGATAAGAGATAAATAAAAATAACGAGATCGAAAATAAGAGGACGATGCACCGTAAATGTGAATCTTTTATGTGACAAAGTTAAACCTAACGACGACAGTTACATGAACTACAGTCGTTTTCCGGCCTCATATAAACAAGCCCTGTTCGCTAACGGGCATGCTTAGTGTGGCGCACCGGGCGGCGCCAGAGAAGGCTTATGCGGCGAAACAAAGGCGAACAGACCGAACTTCCGAACAAAAGCCGGACGTTCCCTTGGCGCCGCGCTGCTCTGGCGGACAATGCCGGAACGCAGGGGAGATAAGCGGCGGAACGAGTGCGCTGTGAGAGCGGGGCGTAGCACGGGCCTCCAGGATGTGAGCGGAGCGGCTATCTTCGTCCATCTGTAATATCTGCCTCTCGCTCATTCTGGGCCTATTTATATATGATATGATATGACACACACACACACACACACACACGCACGCACACACACACATGCACACACACACACACATATGTATATAAGTGTGTGTGTGTATATGTGTTTGTGTGTGTGTGTGCGCGTGCGTGTATGTGTTTTATTATTATTATTATCATAATCATCGTTATTACTTTTATCACCTCAGATGTTGATGATGTCCTTATCATTATCCTTATAGTCAATATCATTTTTATTACTAGCGCCAATATTTTTTTCTAATTGTTATTATTATCTTTATTATCATTATCATTACTATCGTTATTATTATTATTATTATTATTATTATTATTATTATTATTACTATTACTATTATTATTATTATTATAATTATTATCATTACTATTATAATTATTATCATTACTATTATCATTATTATTATTATTTATCATTATCATTAATATTATTATCATTATCATTATTATAATCATTAACATCGTTGTTTCTGTTGTAGTTATTACCTCCGCCAAGGAGGTTATGTTTTTGACGGCGTTGGTTTTTTGGTTTGTTCGTTTGTTAGCAGCGTAGCCCAAAAAGTGCTGGCCGGATTTCATCGAAATTTTGGGGACAAGTCAGAAAGGGACTAACTTAGGGACGCAGCAGCGGTGTAAGTACATCCGAAAGATAATCATGATATTTTTGGACTTGGCCGTGTCCCGGGTGTCACTGTGGATGCAGTAGCGGTGCAAGTACATCCGAGCGATAATTATGATGTTCTTATTATATAATGTTAATAAAATGTTGAAAATGTTGCCTTTTAATTGTGTATTAGGGCCTTTTTTTCTGTTTTGAAGAAACTCCGAGCTGTCTGATCCTTTTCATCCTCAACCAAAGTATATATATTATATAAGCACCTTGGCGGAGGTCTGCACTCTCTGAGTGCTTTTCTAGTTATCATTATTTTCATAACAATCATCATAATGATGACGATGGCAAAAGTAATGATAATAGTTAAAAAAAGAATATATAATAATAACAATAACAAGAATAACATTAACAACAACAATAATAATAATAATGATAATAATAATAGTAATAATAATAACAATAATAATAATAATAATAATAATAGTAATAATGATAATAATAATAATAGATAATGAGGATAATAACAATAATTATAATAATAATAACAATACTAATGATAATAATGATAATAATAATAATAATAAAAATAATGATGATAAGGATAATAATAATGATGATAAGAATAATCATCATAATTATGATAATAATAATAATGATGATGATAATAATAATAATAATAATAATAATAATAACAATAATAATAATAATAATAATAATAACAATAATAATAATAATAATGAAAAAGATGACGATAATAGTAAGAATATAATATTAATAATAATAATGATAATAATAGAACAATGATAATAATTATTATTATAATACTCATAATGAAAATGAATACAATATTGATAATAATAATAATGATATTATTAACTACAACAATTATCATTATCGCCATCGACATCATAATGATATTTACCCATAGGGCTATTTTTTGTGTCTCCATTGCTCTCATTCCTGCTATCAGTATTATATATATATATATATATATATATATATATATATATATATATATATATATATATATATATACATATTCATATTATAATTATTAATGTCATTTGTAATTCTTCGCGCCGACTGTCATATGCTTCAAAGTTAAACAAATATTATACTTTCTTAACAGAAACGACTATATAATTGTGCTAAAAGGAATAGTGCGTATGGCGGACATTATGAACTAAAACAGAGAGTGTTCCTAAAACCTCTTTTATCATCACCATTTCTCCACTTTTCCTCTCTTTTTACTTCCTCTCCTCTATTTCTCCAACTGACCTATTTTCAAGGACAATGGAACAAAAGAGCATCGTGTTTGTAGAATTTAAAAAAATGTGTTTCCATAACAAAACTTCCCTGATGATTGTTTGGCGCATTCCAATACTTTCACTTCCTGCATCTCTCTCTCTCTCTCTCTAGCTATCTATCTCTATCTATCTATCTTCAACCTTTGCATTCTCCCTATCTATCTACCAGTCTATATTTACATTTAACCCACTAGTCCCGGTACGTGAGCTGCAGTCTTGCTTGGTGAAATTTGTTTACCCATAGAAGGCTCCACAAGTGCTTAGCCAGTCAGTCACTGGGCCCTGCGTGGCATTATCATATTATGCTTCAAATACAAATAACCATCCAAAATAACAGAAAGCTCCACGTCACTGTACTCTCAATCTTTAAATTTTTCTATGATTCAAGTTCTTTTATTTTGACTTTTAACTTTTATTTTAACCCATTCACGCCGGGTGTCACGTATACGTGACGGGCCTATTGTGAGTTTACTTGTTTGATTGTTTACATACATAGATGGCTCCACTTGCACTTGTACTGCCTGTCTCGTCTGTTTACCCTTTTCTTTAATTTACGAAATTATTTTGCGTTATCTTATTTTGCTTTTACTAATGTTTATAACATTATAGTAATTATAATGTTTATAATAAAAATAACCATCGATATTCATAGCACTAGTAAAAATACATTTTCCCGCCAAATGAAATCCGGTAAAGCAGAGCCATCTAGTGTAGAGAAATTTCATTAAAAAATATAAAAAATTAGCACAGCATTTCCCCCATTTTTTGTTCATTTTTACCCGGCGCGAATGGGTTAAAGTCTCCCCTTCCCCGTTTTCTAAAGCTCTTTATTTATATATAAATTGTGAATCTAAAAATTGGTAGTTACTGAAAATCCTGAATAAGGCCAATAAATGATAAGTAAGTCACATATACTGTAATTTCCTCGCTTTAAGCTGAGAAAGACTTCCGCATGGCAGTTCACAAGAACACTCCTCTCCCGCAGGTGTGTGTGGAGGACCTGGGGTCATGCGCGAGCACCGGCGATTCCTCGGAGGCCGACGACAGCTTTGGCAACAACAGCGGCTCCTTCGGCAGCACAGACGTCAGCACCGAGGCCATCACCTACGCTTACAGGGATGAAGACAGCGGAGATTGGAAAACTATGGTTCCTAACTTTAGGAAAAACTACAGCTATGACACAAGCACCAACAATAGAAACAAAAGCTCTATCTTGATTCCGGACAACAGAGGCACTGATCCAAGCGACATCAGCAGCGGGATGGGAACGAGCGAAGGTGGTGGCACGAGCGGCGATGACGACGACAAGAAAAACGCGACCACACGCTTCATGCAGTCGCGCCGGCTGGTTATCTCGCCCCCGTGCCTTCCGTGCCACCAGTGGGATGGTGTCATGTACTGCAGGCCGGTGTTCGGCTGCGTGCATGACACCCTCTCGAGCAAGATGGAGGATGCCGCGTGCCGCCCGTGCTTCCAACGCAACGCCCTGAACGACTGCGAGAGAATCAAAGGCTGCATAATCCCCATCCTCCACGGCGCTCCCCACGCCTATCAAGGTGGCGTCGTCTTGCCCTCCTTCAGGCAGACGACCACGCCCTCTTCCACTAGGACGTCGCGGGAGGAGGCGGTCGATACAAGTCCTCTTCCAACGAAAGCCTTCGCTCCTACGGATGCTGCCGCGGCGGTCCCACTCCTGAAAACCTTCCTCACCACGCCTCGCCCTCAAGGGACTCCCGTCTCTCGACCAGCTGAAGCCTCGCAGTCGAACCGCGTTTCGGGTTCTGCTTCGAATCACGTACAGCGAACCACTCAGAGTTATGAGTTCGAGACGACGCGACACGAGATCGAGAATGACGCGTCGTTTGGGGCGTCAAGGAATTTTTTGACATTGCCTGCGACCTCCGTCGTCTCTGAGTCACATGCCATTGAATCTGACAACCAGGCTAGAGCAACAGTGACTGAAATGGCAGAAGAAACATCAGGAATATCATTCATCTCTGAAAGATCCCAAGCAGCAGCTTCGTCATCAGAAATATTGGAGACTTCAGAAATGCCCGTTCTGCCATCTGAAGCAGCAGAAGTGACAGTCACGCCAAATGAACAAGCAGTGGTGACAACAACCACGTCTTCTGAAATAAGGGATACGACCTTCATGTCTGAAACTGAATCGACTGCTACATCTAATGGAATAATTGAATTGACAGCTGTAGCTACTGAAATGACCCATGCGTTCGACCTCACATCAGCAGAAACGGAAGCCTCATCAGAAGAATCAGTTGCCACAAAATTTGGACTGGAATCTACATCCACGTCTTCAGGAACTGTAGACTTGAACCCTACTGCTTCTGAGACAATAGAATCAACATTCACATCATACGAAATGATAGAATCTACTTTCAAATCTGAAACAGAATTTACGGCGTTATTACATGAAAGAACGGAAGTGACGGTCTCGGTTTCTGAAATGTTTGAATCAACAGTTGCATCTTCGGAAATGTCGGAATCGACATTCCTGACTTCAGAAGTGATAGAATCGACAACAACATTTGAAAAAGAGTTATCAGACACGCCTTGTGCAAGGTTAGAGTCGACCTATACATCTTCCGACATAATGGAATGGATAGCTGCATCTTCGGAAACAACAGAATCGACGTCACTATCTTCTGAAGTCAAAAGCATGACAGACGTGTCTTCACAAATATTAGAATCCACAATTTCTGAAATCCCGGAATCAGCAACAACAGATTCAGAATCGTCAGGTGATTTATATGAAAGAAGAGAACTAACAGTTTCTAAAATAATTGAATCGACAACTACTCCTTATGAAAACACAAAAGCTGATATAGTTCCTGCATCTTCCACAGTTGCAGAATCACCAGGCGTATTTTCTGAGACACCGAAATCTAAAACCACACCATTTCGTACACCTCGAGTAAATGACTTCACATCCTTAGCAGCGGAGGCCACATCTGAAAAAGCACAGCTCACGGCCACACCATTGGAAACACCAGAACCAACAGAGCCTGAAAGAACGGCCACTACTTCTGAAATGATGGAGTCGACAGCCACGTCCCTTGAAACATCAGAGTCAACAGGAGTCGAAAGGACTGTATCGACAGCCACCTCGTCAGAAAGCGCCAACTTGATATCCTCTTCATGTGAACCAATAGCGTCCTCACAGTTGTCACCAACGGAGAAAACAGAACCAAATTTTATTACATCACACTTAAAAGATACATTAGCGAGTACAGGATTCGCACTGGAAATGTATTTATCTACCGTGATCCACCAACGATCTCCGAGTACAGCGTCCGCAGACATGGGAATAGCACCTAGTTATGTGCATAGATCCCAAACCGACGTTGAGGTATTTCGTGAGGAAGCAACAGGATCGCGCCCAGAAGTTCAGTTCTTCGTTGAAGCATCTGGACTAATTATATCAGAATCCGCGTACCAAGAAGCTACATTAACGACATTGGAACCACGCCACGCAGAGGGCTTCCTAACGCCACACGCAAAGCCTCTTTACAAGGATGCTCTCGTGACTTCCAAAACGCCAAACCCTGACGCCGAAGTCTTTACCATGACTCAGACAGGACAAAGTAACACAGAGAGCTCCCTGACGCTCAAAACGCCAAACCCAGACGCAGAAGTATTCATTACGTCACGCAAAAAGCCTGCAGTAAGAGAAAGGCTCATCGTATTTCAAACATCGCAAACGAATCCGCAATCAGCGAAGCCACTTTAAACAAACCATGTAGCTTTTCCATCAGCGAAAGAGTCAAGAGAAATGTAAGTTTCGTATTAGACAAAGCAGCTACAGGACAACTCTCCGCGATGTAAGAAATGACACAAAATCGATTATTGTCATACCAGTATCTCAGTGTTGCATAATATGATATAATAATGTGATATTCATTTATTCGGGAGGAGAGCGGCGAATAAGCTCTGTTGTCAGTAAGATGAATTACTGTATTTGCCGGCGCATTAGACGTGCTTTTAAAAATTGCCCTAGTTCTAATGCGACTGTATTAAGGATGGGAGACTGAGCTAGGGAGTTAGACGCACACTCTAGGCAAGTTCGTTAGGCACAGAAATTGTTGCTAATGATAACATATTGAAACCAACCCAAATTATTACAGAAAATTGTGTTATT